CACTGAGTCTGGTCGAAAACGTGAGAAAATTAATGGTATGCCTACTGAAATGTATTTAGTAGGTATTTAAGCATATTGTAAAACGCATATACTACCAACGATAATTCTGCCGAGGTCGCGTTAAGTGGGAAGCAATGTAGCCTAACTCTCCATATGTCAGTTGGCTCTTCCACACAAGCACACACACTGGCTGACTGTGAAGTCCAAGATGTCCCATCAGATGGCATTTACGACTTTAAGTGCATCACGATGTCCTTCAACGCGGCAGATTGTTTACAGTGAGAAATGTGCCAATCAGATAACGGCACACGTTCGGTGCTACCAGACCGGAGTCTTGTGAGACATGCATCACAGCACCTGGAGCGTCTGAGTCAATCCTGAAGGAGTTGCTTGGTCGATTTTGATAGCTGTGCTTGGCCGACATTCTGGAGTCCAATTTCGCCGCGGGCGTTCGGTGTAGGTCCACCCTGTTGAGTGAGGTTTCCCAGTTCGTACAGGCTGAAGCCGGATTGATTAGGAATTCGATACTCTGAACCCTCCCCCCCTAATCCCCTCTTTACCCCATTTAGCATTAACCCGCCTTCTCTATGAATCGAATGGAGGGCGCGAAGAAGACCAATGCCAGGCCGCGTAGAAATGAGGACGCAGAATACTTTGATGCACGCTTCAAAGTTATCCTGTTGGGCGAGTCGGGTGTTGGGAAGACCTCACTCATTCGGTCTGCAATGGGGCAGGACTTTAACCCCTCCATGATCTCAACTATTGGTAAGAGTTTAGTTTGGACTGAAATTACTGCTAGATAGAACTAACAGACTCACCAGAAAAATAGGATATCATCCGCTCAGTCTGACCCCTCCTAATCGATAAGTGTGCCTGATAGTCATCTAGTTGATTCTTTATTTATTATCTAGGAAATCCTGCTTCGACAATCAGCTTACTTTATCAATATAGTTTGATTTAATACGTCGCATTAGGCCGGGCGGTTAAGTCGATTCATGTTTGTTTAAACTCACGGCTCCCAGTGGGGCCTCGATAGCTCAGTTGACTAGAATGTTGGCTGTACTAAAGTTTTCTCTTGCTGACGTAGGTTCGAAACCCACCGAGGCCGACGAGTTCTTCACAATTGAGTCAAATGACTTATTAAACTCGGCAAAACTACTCCTTTTAATATTTAACTGAACTAACACTGGCAGTGACGTAACCAGTAGCAACTGATGGTCAGCGTGGAATCAACTCTATCCAGAACTGATACAGAATTTCCTTCGCTGATGATTGTCGTAACCACCGTCATTCTGCAGGGCCAGATGGGACTTGTGTGCCCAAGTGGACTTTAGAGAGGAGATGCCCGCTGCGCTGGACTCAAAATGTTCCAGTGACTGCAGATGGACCCTGCTGGGGGGTCTACTCTTTATTATGTCTGCGTGAAAGGAGTTTTAAAACAGGTTTTGTCGAACGGTAGCAAACACTGTGCCCTCAGGCAAGGTGTGGCCGCTGCCTAAAAGCCTAGACTGCGAGTTGTGCCGTTTGTCGCCTGCAGTCAGTCAACTGAAATGGCGCGCATCGA